CACTCCGGCTGAATCTCTTTCCTTTAACCTGAAATTGGGTACTTTCTAAGGAGAATACCTGCTGGTTCGAGGAGCAACAAAAAAGGAGCGGTTTGATGTGTATAAATGTAAATGTTAATTGAATTAAGTGAAACTTCATTCGATTGTATGTGATAAAAATTGAAACAATAAAGTGATGCTGACTGGTGGTGTAGTGGAGCTGTGCGCAATGCGTCGGTTGTTCTCGGAACAGTGACAATAGAGAACGAAAATTATAACTGAGTGTTCGAAATTGATCCAACGAATATGACTGGTGGCTAGTGATGGCATCCAACCCATGGTCGATCGTAAAAACCCGACAATGTCAGTTGGAATTCTGATATTCGGATTCTGACCGAACAATTTGGAAGGTCTGTCGGAATTCCGACTGCCAGAAATTCAACATGTCGATTCAATCGGACTTCGACCAAACCGTTCCAACAGTCGGTCAGAATCCCGACTGTCGGGATGACAAAATTTCATGTCGATCGGACGTCTATTAACTTAAATATGAATTCCATCACTTGGCGAACTGTCACTGCATTGATACTTGGCGAACTGTTTGTAAACCTTTTGATTTTACCAACTGAAAACACAATTACCGTTTAGTTTAAATAAGGGTGTCACTCACATTACGTACCATGCCATGTTGTGTAATATGGCGATGGGAAAGATGGATGTGACTGTGGTTTATTATAGCTAAACGAGTATCGTTATTGTGTGACAGTTGTTCAGTTACAGAGGAAATGTCAATATTTCGCAGTGTTGGTTTAAATGGCGAAAAGGTTCACTTGAGCAGAAGTGCAGTGTTGCTGGGAAGCGCGTGTGTCGCTGGAACTGTTGCACTTTATTGGTACTATCGGAGGTGTCGTAATAAGGTGTTTACTTCGTTCGTTAGTGTTATTTTATGCTGTTTTCTTTTAACTTCGTCATTCTCACTTTCTCTTGTTCCAGATTAAAGATGGAAATGATCCTTCATCTGCGACAACTTTTGGTTAGTCGAATATGGATATAGAATTTTTTATTAGAAGTGTTGGATTTCAGTATTTCCGATATCGTATAACAGTTTAACGTGAAGTATCTATTCAAGCAGAAAGGCAAAAGCGTTTCATTTTTTAGAATTTGACTCTCTCATGAGCTTCATCGATCGTGATTCCTGTTATCATTTAACAGTTTGCTAAAATTTAGTTTACAATTTGAAAATTCTGTCTGGTCGTTTCATTTTTATTGAAAACAAAATCCTACAATTGTTGCTTGTTGTTTAAATGATTGCTGAATAATACTAGGCAATTCTAGGGTTGGATGGACTGGAGCTTTCAAAAAAGCATAAGGAGTGTGGTAATCAGTTTTTTAGAAGGGGGGAATATCAGTCTGCATTGAAAGCATTTAATAAAGCGATCGAAACGTGTCCGAAGGAGGAAGTAAAACATCTTGCTATTTGCTACCAGAATCGGGCAGCCACTTACGATCGCTTGGTTGGTTAATTATTCGACCGTTATAATAAAATAACTATCAGTATTTGATTATCATTTCAAAATGATAGCACTGCGTTAAGTTGCCCAAGGACCAGGATGTTTTATTTCTTAGCTTGTTTGAATAAATCGGATCAATTTGAATACTTTATTGCAGGGTGAAACACAGAAATCAATCGATGATTGTACTGTTGCGCTGCGATTCGACAAAGTTTATTTGAAAGCTATTGTACGTCGCGCTAAAGCCCACAAGCTTTTGAAACATTATCAAGAGGCATTAGACGGTAAGCAACGTTCGTCAGAAAATATTACATATTCTACTTCAAAACTTTTCTGTAGATTTGAAATATGTTGCACCAATGGTCCAAATTGTGTCATTCAGTGCTTGCATTATAGATTATTTTCTAAATCGTGATTTCGTGCGCTGTGATTCTTATAGCTGACTATTTCTATCTTACAATCACGTTTAATGTCATTGAATTCAGAATAAACTTTCTGTTAATATGCAGATATTTACTATGCTCGATATGTTGATGCGAACGATTCATCAAACCTAGCTAACGACCTGATAGATGTTATCAATCCTCTTGCCGCTCTAGTCCTCCAAGAAATTGTTCGTTCTACTTTACATTTTCGAAGTCGTTTCGTGTCAATACAGCTCAACATAATTTCATTCAAGCTTCCAAATATCTATTGAATTTATTCCCATAAGTCCTTTCTAATCGCTTCGTTTATATGATCACACTGACGTAAGAGGCAGTTTCAGTTATGAGGCGGGGGAAGTGGAATACATTCTTCCGCTTGAAATTTTGAGAGCTTACTGACAAATACTTTCGCAGACGATTTTATGTTTTCTAGATTGCATTCACTTCGCTGAAATAGCTTGTTTCCATCGAAAAAAATTCTGCTCATATCATTTTAATAAATAATATATTACTTTATGCAGTGTACTATATTATGATCTGAACAAAAAACAAGAAATTATGTTTTCTGTGCTTTATTTAGCACGTACAAACAAATGAGAAAATGAGTTTTGGAAGTGTGAATTTCAGACGGACGAACGAGGTTCAACTCCAATCCCAGTTCGAGACGAATCTGTCTTAGTGTGGCATAATTGTTTTACAAATGATCCAATCCTCAATGATCTTGACAATCCCAAATTAGACAGGTGCACTCATTAAACATTCATTTCCGATTGCTTCTCTTATATCATGCGGTTCACTCAATATCATCCTTTCAGTTTCATTAGCTTCTCATGCCAGTATTCGATGCAAATATAGTTGCAGAAATCAAAAGTAACTAGTGTCGTGATTGTTGAAATGAGTGAAATAAACTTTTATATCACTGAGACGAGATATGTAGTAACATCAGTCACACTCCATTTCTCAGCGATTTATTCAACAGTTGCAGCGGTCTATATGGACGTGCATTGGAAGCAATACGAGAATGTCGTTACGAAGAAGTTATTCCACTTTTGGAGCAAGAAATGCCACAAATTACTGAACCAACAGAAATTTTACGTGATTCCGTGCTATTGATTCGTTTCGCTTTCATGAAAGAAGATCAAAAGGTAGCTTGTGCGAGTAGACCATTTTCAATTTCTATTCTAATTCCGTTCGTTTTGAAGCTTCAAAGCATTTCCATTCAATATTGTTGCTGCTGCAGCAGATGAATGTTTTTCAATATACGTTTTGCTTCATTTATTTGTTTTCAAAATTTTCTTCCAGAGAGTGGACGAAAATCTCAAAAAATTTGATCAAACTTGGAGCGCATTACATCAAGATCAAAAGGAAGTTATCATCAATAAACGCTACAGAGTTATATACTATTTGTTAAAAGCGGCAATGAACCTTGAAAATTTATCTGATTCGTACGTTTTGTTTCAATCCGTTTCTGTTTTCATGTGAGACTTAGCGCCTCTTTCTAGAAGGATTGGAATTTCGATGAATTCAATAACATTCTTAATTTCTTCCATTTGTTTTACGCATTTGAAATTTGAAAATGATGGTACTGAGTGCGATGTTATCAATCGATTTGTTTTGTTAACTATTATTGCTATTACCGTCAGTTGCCATTATTATTCTGACTGTTCAATGATTGCATAACTTCAACTCATTGATTAGATGAGAAGTGGAATTTGTTTTTGAATTACAGTGGTGAATTGACAATTACACACACTTGAGCCACAATATATTTTGAGGTTCGACAACTTGTCTTATGCGATTCCGTGGTGATAATGCGTTCTCACTGATACTTTGAACTCGGCCGAGTTATTTTTACTACGGTTTAAGTTTAGTTGCTACGCTAACATTTCGCGCGAAAGGGAATCAATCAACTGTAATTCGCAGTTTCATTGTTCGGTTTTGGTGTATAAAGAATATCTTTGTGCGTGTGTGATTTAAACCTGAATTTCACCGCTTCATTGTTACAGTTTGAACGTGTTCATTCTGAGAGCAGTATGCATCAAAAGAGGACAAATAGCAGTGATCCGACTTCTCTGGTTGCAGTTTGTCCGTTCACTTTTAAATTTTTAGATCAGTCGGGCTCTCTTCTGCTGGGTAGAACATTGTTCCAATATTGTCGTGAATGTCCTCAGTGAATTTCATCATCTGACAGCAGAGAAACTGCTACGTGTTCACTCTCCAAGCGAACTAGCAGCTCAGCGGTTTTGCCTAAACCATGGCAACAAAGCAAGTTCGTTGAGCATGCGCATTGTAGGCACGGAAGTGCATAAGATAGGCTGTCAAACCAAAGTGTATTTTATCGCAAGGTTTTTGACTTCAGTATTACCAAACTCATTTGGTTCAGTTGTTGAGTGATAGTTTTGGTTCTTTTTCTTCAAGAGATTTCGATCCGGCAATACAGTTGGATGGCGGGAATGTTGATATATACATAGCTGCTTGGTTGTTATATTGTGAAAAGCTGGACACTGAATCGGCGATGAAATATTTAAATCGTCTCGAACAAACTGCTCCCAATCATAACTTCCTCAAGTTGGTTCCTACGCACCTGTGGTTTTGATTTTGATGGATTAATATGAAAAAGTGAATATATGCTAAATGAATTTAATCTGTCACTATTAGAGAAAAGTAATAATAAATGATAGATATGCAAAAGCGGATTGTCAACTTGCGAATGCGATCGCACAGGCCGACGTATGTGCCACATTGAGGTGTATACATGATGCGTATGAAATATTGAAGGATGATTCAGAATCACAACCAATTTTTTATCTTCTTTCTGGCAAGGTTCTTTATTTCCTTTCGCATCTAATAGGCACTAAGCGGTTGAGTCACCAATTTATAGGTTTTCATATAACTGGATGAGGAATTCAATGTTACTGAACCATCACACGTTCATTCTAAAATGTTTGTTTGAATCAATAAAATTCCTCATTTATTCACTATTGTTTGAAGTTATTTTACGCGGCGGAGAACAGGGACCTTGCGCGAGAATCTTTCGAAAAGGCTGTAGAAGCATTTCCACAACACTCAGCCCCGACGACGTATCTTGCGTAAGTTCTACGTTATCGTTTGCTCCATGTGGTTTTCTTCTTTTAAAAAAGTTTGTTCTTTATTGAAGGAACGCTCCGAAGCGCATATGTATAAAAATGAATATATGAAAAATTTGAGGATGATTGAAGCAGAGAACTTGGATGAATCGAGTGAGAAGATGAGACAGCTGGAATCCAAAATGAAGAGTCGCTTAGAAATGGAAGAGGGTGATCCAGATGTGTTGGCAGTGTTAGCGAAAATAGCTATCAAAAGGTTTGTTTTACTGTGAAGTTAGGAATCTGCCTTTCTGAAAATGTAATTAACTATGATTGTATCTCGAAAACCGTCTCTAAAAGTTCGTTTTCGTTGTTCTGTTGAATGTTATCATAATTAAGTGATACTGATTAACCATCAACGATAAATATTAGGTAATTAATGATCGTTTCTTTCCTTGTCTTCTTACGAATAAATTAAGGAAGATTGAATTATACAATTCGACATTCGGTACAAGCACTTGCTGATATAGCTATAAAACGTAATGAGACAAGTTAATTGAGAAGGGTTGATGATTTTTTTTTTCACGTTCTCAAACCGCAATTTTATGACACTGCGTTTGTACGGGTATGACTGTATAGGAATTTTCTTCGAAGTGATTCATATTATACCGATCTTCGATAACACTTCAAAAAATTGTGCCATTCATGACCTCATGTATTGCGTTTGATCGACTCTCGTCTCACTAATCACATCGTGATCGACACTCACTTATTCCTCATTTCTATGGCATATTCATCTGTTCACGATTTCGTCCCATTAAATTCATCACTCACACATAATCCATAATGATAAGCAGAATAACAGAATTGAGACTATTCTAGCAAATTAATAGGAAATATTTTCAGAAATGACTATCGCGAAGCGGTTGGTTTATACAAGCAATATCTACTATTGTGTCCTCTGCGCTATCATCATTCGCGAGCTGTTCCAGCCATCATAAATTACATGCAAATTAAGGCAATGAACGAAATTCTGAAAGATTTGAATGATCCTCAACGATGATTTACTTATTTTTATTGCAGTGATTTCTTTTAGTTATTAATTGCTCATTTATCATTGATTGCAAGCGTCGTTCATTTATCATCAGAAGTCTATCTGCCAACGTTGAACTATAATGTATGCAAAATTTTGCTTTAATCTTATTTTGACAGAAACATTCCCGGTGTAAAATTGGTCACATCTGATATCTAAACACGGCTTCATTTCATAGCCAATATGATTGTGTCGTATTTCTTTTCATATATTATTTGATGATTTATTTTGTTTCTCCTCGAAATGTGGGTTTTCCATGTCCCACTCCATAAAGAGGCGATCATGGATGTTGCATTTTACATTATTTGCTTTGCGTTAGCACTGAGCTTGACTAAATGATAACTTAAATAGATTCGGGTTAATAAAAAGTACAGTTCATCGGAAGTCGCGCAGTGCGAAGAAACAGTTTATGTTGAATATGAAATCAGTACCGAATGTCAACATGATGATTATACGTTTGTTATTTATCATACTGTTGTTGGATTATGTGGTTGTTATAAATTTTGGATTCCGTTTGATGCCTTACATCAATTGAATATTGCAAAAATAAAGCACGCCTCATTATGAATGATACTAATCTGGTTAAAGAAAAGTTTCAAGTGCTGAATGTTGCACTTTAAAACTTGCGCGAACAGCGAAATTCCAGAATGAATCAAGGAAGTGAATGGATTGCAAAATTAACTTCAGTAATGTGTTTAATTGTTGTAAAAGACGAAAATCAACTGTAACATTCCAAAATTAAACGAAATAACTTATAACAAGGTTGCTTCAGTTGAGAAATTGTTAAAAAACAAACAAATCGGAAACAATTATCACAAAAAGATTTGATACATCGAATACAGCAAAATAAAAGGGCATAAATAGGTATGTGATGATGACCCAACAAGATTATCGGTTGTTTTTCCACGTATACTTCTCTCTTGAATAGATCGAACAGGATGGAAATCATCTCATTTAATTTGTTTTTGGTATTGAACATTTCAGAACACTCCTATTCATCATCACATTCAAGTTCAGTTCAGAGAACAAGAACTGTTTCTATTGCTGCACAGTAACAGCATCAAGAACAGTTCAATGCAAAATGCGCAACAGGAACATTTCCGAACGTGAGTTTGTTCAGTCGAATCGACATTCATTCATCATTGAATGACATTACAGGTGTATCATATCGTCTATCGTGTATGTGACCACTTCTCAATTTACTCAGCATAGATAAGGCAAAACCGGAAACGTTGTGTTGGCTCTTCGTGTCATATGACTAACTGGTGTGATGTTAACACATTTTGAAACTGATAAGGAAATAAACGACTCTCGAAGAACTAATAAAGAAGCGAGGGATTTAACAACAATCTGAATAAAAATGGAATAAACAAAACGATAATTTTCATCACGTCATTATGACTGTTAATGATGTGAACGGGTGTATTTGCCCCAAATGTGTAGCACAAATACTGAAGCAATAAACACCAGACTCATTACCAGTACAGGCACCGGACCAATTTTGAGACCTGTTGCATCTTCGGTATAAAAACGCCATAAGCCACCACTATTAACACCACCTGATCGTGCTGCTCTAGCTGCACCTTAAACTTTATATTATTAAGTACATTATTCCAACCACTATCTCGCGCTCTAGAATTTTATTTGATTAGAGATAACACGTTGAATCTTTTAAAAGGTCAGTGCACCTGAAGATGTAGCTCCACCGCGACGTTGACGCACTGCTGTGCCAGCTGTTCCAGTTCGAGTTGCACGTCCAGGACTACGTCCAGTATCTGACATCACGAGTTCACCTTTGTGGTCTGATTTCAAAGACAGATACGCCGAACTGGGAATTAATTACAAATTTATATTATTCCTTCATACTTTTATAATCGAGGCGAGCATAGAACCAGAATTCCAGATCAAAATGTGAATAATATGGACAAAAATTGTAAGACGGAACTTGAACTGAATTATGGCTCGATATGCAAATGAAAAATGATAAAAACTAGATATTATGCAGAAATAAAAGTACATGACGATGAAAAATCGAAACACTATCTTAAAAGTAAGGATCGATTCTGATGAACACATGCACATAAACCTCAAATTTACGTGTAACCAACCACCTAAAAAGTAAATATTCCCTCCCACCCGACCAATCACATATACTTTAATAAGTTGTTGCACATATATACTGTTCCAACAAATCTGTTGGAAAGATCTCAACATTCGAGCTGCAATAATACGGAGATTGAAAACTCTCTTCGAGATAAACTGAACTAAAATATTTAAATTTGTTGGAAGAATTGAGGGACAATTTGGAGATAGAAGCTGAACAGAGGTTGCGGTATTATGCGCGTATGCATACCTAGGATTAAGCCTCCATTTCTGTACTGCCTTTCGAATCATATTCCGTGTTCTGTTGCGTTCGACACTTTAAGCTCGACTCGTGCTTGTGTAACATAAGCAAATGCCTTTTCAAAACGTTGCACTCTTTTCAAGCTGACCATTGAATAGTGCCAGTCCATTTAAAGCAAAACACCACAAACATTAAACGATGTCCGCTCAGGCTGAACTTTAGGCTCAGGCTAAGGCTTAGGCTTTGCTTGTCTCTCAGTGCCAAAAATGATTGTTTTTTCGCTAATTGATACTCTCGTACACCTCTCATTCTGTTGTCGTCTGCGAAGAAGTACTGTTGAGTTTTGCCATTTGTTCCATTTACCCGTCGTTATTATTTCGAATAATTTGCAAGCTTTTAGATGGAGTCTGATCTAAAATGGTTGGGATTAGCAGATATGAAAATTAAGGAGACAATGAAGAATGCAGCACTGGCTAGTCATTTGCAAACGATCGTTGATTTAACTAAAAAGCAACTGCACGAAGCTAGATTGGATCCAAATATCTCTAAACAACAGGTTATTCGTTTACCCATGTTGTAATCTTGGATATTCTTGTTATTGGTATTACATGAATTTGGTTTCGTAATTTTTGGTATCTTTGGTAATTTTGGTATTTTGGTATCGCATCACATGAAGTTTAGTAATCAGCCGTATAAATATTTGATTTTTATGCCTTTGGTAAAGGATTGTAATAACGTATAAGTTTCGACTGTGAATCTGTTTGTCGAAGTACATTTATTTGTATTTTCAACAACAGTACACCACTCGGTTTCGAAGAAAATTTACCTCCGCGAAGATTATGAAGGTAGTTTTTTACCTCCGCGGAGCTAAAGTGGAAACCATGAAGCATTGCTACCAGATGGTTGCGTTACGTTCATATGGCTGTTTTATTGCAGTTTTGTTCAAGTGTCATTTCAGGGTACATTCCTTTATCAGCTCGGCACGCGGTTGAAATCACAGTGCCAGCAGCATATTCCACTGGTGATACGTCACATAATTAATGGAAATATTCGTAATGAACCTCAACTAAGTGCTGCAATCGATTTTCTCTTATCGCATACCATCAGCGGTTTCGATGAATCCACTTTCATGGATGCGTGCGGTGCAGGTGTTATTATATCATCGGATATGATTGAAGATCAGGTTATTATTAGAATAATTAATACCAACTTAACTCTTTTCACACTGCGTAATCATCGTTTATTCTAGGAAGTTTATAAGATGTAATTTTTTGGTTAACATGCCTTTGAAGAGGGGGGGGAGGGGGGAGGATGGAGGGGTGAGTGTTACAAGTCTCAACGCGTGAACTTCGATGCTCCTCAGTCAAGTGGCTCAGTGTAAATCCTGTGCTAATCTCGGCGATGAGTTATAGCCAAACGGAGGAGATAACTTCAATTTAAGATTTTATGTTGACCGGCCCTTGTTCGTAGACAAGATTACTTAAGTTGGTTATTGTGTCTGTTTCATATTTTCAGGTGGCCGAAACAATTAGCAAGTACAAAGATCAGCTGTTAAAAGAACGATACAGTTTCAATTTTGGTCGAATTCTGAGTAAGTGTTCTGTGAAAGTAGTTTATTAATTATCGATTTCTGTCAAGTTTGTTAATTTTCGAATTTTATCGATATTAATAATTGATGACCATCATGAAACTTAAATATAGTTCTAATTTTCATGTTTAACAGTTTATTTATTTGTTCATTAAATAAACAAATGCAACTCATTACGAGTATTTGCATCGCTTTTACCACAGGTAGTCAAGCATTGATTCGTTTATATCTTCTCCACTCGCAGCCACCAACATTTTGCAGTTCACGAGACTGTACATCTTTTCTCGATCATGAATGATCTCAAAGATAATCATCATTTTTTGCAGTAGATGCTAAGGAGGAGCATTCGCTTATGTAATGTTTGTAGGTGATGTCAAGTCGGCATTAATGTGGGTAGATGGCGCATCAGTGAAACGAGAGGTTGACCTGCGTATTATGCTATTACTTGGACCAAAGACCGAAGAGGATTTACTGAGCGCAAAAACAAAATGGAACAAAGCGCAAAATAAACAACAGCAACAGTCTATCAAAACGCAAAATGGTGATATCAATAAAAAGTTGAAAAGTTCTGATGAAACGACAGGTTATTTATTGCAGTTCCATTCATATGGCTACTGTAAAGATTAAAATATATTTGTGTTGTTGTGTCCTCAATTTTCTCAGCGATTGCTCGTCATATTCGAATGACGTTAATTTGGCGTTGTTTTTACGAATTTTTTTTTTCAAATCAGCAAGTTTAATTTCAGAGATAGACGAGGCTCCGACTATCGAGGAATTGATGAGACGGAAAGTTTTCCATAAGGTAATATTCAGCGTTGTTCCACTGTGAATTCACGTTCACAAAATATTCATCGAAACATGTCCATACACTCTGTTGAGCAAACTGTTCTTTGGAGTAAATTTTCGGAATGAAATTATGAGATGTTGGATGTGTTAATTTTTCTCTTGTTCATTGTGTAGAATGTAGCATTTCTGGAAGAAATTCCGATATACATTTTTTAGGTTGGTGAAAACTACAAGACCGATGGCTATATTGTGACTCCGAAAACAATGGAATTGTTAAAGCAACATGTAAAAGCTGTAAATGGCAAGGTTAACAAATCATTCCTTTTGACCTTTACATTTGCATAGAATGTTGACGTTTTAATAATCCTATCGAAACTAGTTGAACAATATCATTGCAAAATTTTGAAGATTAATCTTAGTGAACCTTTCAGGTGGTCACTCGTTTCCCTCCTGAGCCAAACGGCGTTTTGCATATAGGTCATGCGAAAGCGATCAATATCAATTTTGGTTATGCGAAGGTATAATCATTGATTATTGCGATATATTCACATTTTGTTGTTGTTATTTGGAGTGAACGAAATGCGTGTGAAGGATGACATTTGATTATGTAATTGTTCAGTGATAGTTTGCTGTAGGCACATGGTGGCAGTTGTTATCTTCGATTCGATGATACTAATCCTGAAAAAGAAGAAGAGAAATTCTTCACAGCCATAAATGATATTGTTCATTGGTTAGGTATATATGCCGTTTGATTATTGATTATTCGTTGTCGGTTCTTCTACAGTTCGTTCTTTAATCATTGATGCATTCTCATTTATAGTATCATACGATTAAATTCCACGTCTCACACACTATTTCGAGTCGAAATATTTCTGAATTTCCTTCTAAATCTTTCATTCATTCAGTTTTTTAGTTCGAATATTTGCCAAAAACCAGGTGAAGATTATTTTTATTATTTGTGAATTTTCGCTAGAGGGCACTTCAAATGAGCTCAATAACTCATTCCATCCGCAATTCACTTTTTAGAAGAATGTAGTAAATGATTAGATTATCAATCACAATTTTAGGATATACCCCAGCAAAAATCACGCATTCATCGGATTATTTTGATCAGTTGTATAAATGGGCTATTGTGTTGATCAAAAAGAACTTGGCCTATGTTTGTCATCAGAGTGTTGATGAAATGCGTGGTTTCGATGTGAAAGCGTCACCGTGGAGGGACCGTCCAGTCGAAGAGTCGTTGAACTTGTTCGAGGTTTGTTCAATAAATTATTGATGCATGATTGTGATATTATAACAATCTGTAGGCTATGCGTCGTGGAAAATTCGATGAGGGTTCAGCAACGCTACGATTGAAGACGGTTCTGGAAGAGGGCAAAATGGATCCAGTAGCATATCGCATCAAGTACATTCCTCATCATAGAACCGGCAATAAATGGTATCGATGCTGCCACATTTTATGAACAGTTGTGATAGTGAATGCTTTATAGGTGTATTTATCCAACATACGATTATACGCATTGCTTGTGTGATTCAATTGAAAACATTACCCATTCGATGTGTACAAAAGAATTTCAGTCGAGGTTTGACATTTTGCGTTCTATTCTGATAGTTGCATGGTTGCACTGTTCACTGCGAGTAGGCGATTGCTCTTCATCCAAATAAACATGCACCTTTAATGAGCAACTGGAAGGAATACTGTTACTTAATAAATTACATCAGTACGATTGAATGTTTATTTTATAATTATTGTTGCTTTATCTGATATATTTTTTGTCCGTGAATGATAACATGAAATAGTATTTAAGGCGAAGTAGTTATTATTGGCTTTGTAATGCACTCGACATATATTGCCCTGTGCAATGGGAATATGGCAGGTTGAATGTCCATTATACAGTTGTGTCGAAGCGGAAAATTAAAGCACTTATTGATCATAAAATTGTTCGGTTTGTTTCTTTTTCTTTTCAATTTTTATCTATCACTGTAGTTATATCTACCCGCTATTTATGTGTGGATTCATTACCAGCTCAGTGAATATCATTTATCACGAGCATTTATCGTTTTTGTGTCAAAGCACTTATTGGTCACAAAATTGAATTGGTAATAGACAACGAATAATGAAATAATTTTTAAAATGATTGAATTATTCAGTAACTGGGATGATCCTCGTCTGTTTACGTTGTCTGCATTACGAAGACGCGGCATACCTGCAGAGGCAATCAACAACTTCATCGCTCAGTTGGGTATCACGATGGCACAGATGATTGTTGATCCACACATGTTGGACGCAGCTGCTAGAGATTATTTGAATATCACTGCACCGAGGTATTATCATTTTTATTATTGTTATTGCTATTACTGATTACTTTTAAAATTGCTATTACTGTGTAATTGTCAGTTGAATGAATTGTTCATTAACTAATAATTCAAATATACCGTTCGCTTTTGCTGTCGGCAGGAATGCTTTTCCAAACATTTTTTAAAATTTCTCGCTCCCATTCACTTATTTAAAATGCTATGAAACTTTTTGGGGAGGTGTAAAAGTAATTGGCAGGACTGACAAGTGGTTTTCAGAACAATGGCAGTATTGGAACCTTTGAAAGTGCTGATTCAAAACTGGAATGATTTGAAAATCGATTCAACGGTATCCGTACCTGACTTTCCGACTGATCCGACGAAGTCAGAGCAGCATGTGATAGCGTTCGACAGTATAGTTTTCATTGAGCAAAGTGATTATCGTAATGTGAGTTGCGCAAATTAAAATTTCATTTCATTAGTGAGTAAATCAATATTAAGTGGACTGTTGTAGTTCGTGATAACGTGGTTGCTAATTTTAGGAAAATACAGATAAAAGTTATCGTCGCATGTCAAAGACACAATCTATTGGTTTGAAATATCTGGGTATTGTGTTATCATACGTTTCTGATGTGAAGGTTGGTGTGTGATCTAATTACAGTGAAATAGGAATGAAAATTCATCATAAGAGTCTTTCATTTTTTGTTAAAATATGCTTCAATGATAACTGCAGTGATAGCAATATTGATGAAGTAAACTGCGTTTATATCCTATTTGTCCGACGTTTTGTTCATAACTGAAAATATATCATCAAGGATGAATCGGGTATTACACAACAATTGATAGTCAACGCCGAACCACTAAGTGCTGAGAATAAGCCAAAGGCATTCATACACTGGGTTGCAAAACCAGTTCAGTGTGAGGTTCGACTCTATGAACGACTGTAAGTGATCATTTATAGTCAGTTTTTTAGTCAGTTCTTTTTTATCTTGCATTTGTTCAAATTATTCTAAAGATTGTTTGTTCTCTTGTTTGTTATGAACAAAAACTCTTCGAGCTCTCATCGAAAATGTAAATTCCTTTTCCAGTTCATAAAATCAGCTCTACTCTTTGAAAATGTTTAACTTTCTGTTTGATAACAATTTTTCTTTCAATTTTATTTCTCAGCTTTCAGCTTCAAACACCAAAATCCAGAGGACACGAATATTGTACCGAACGGTTTTCTGTCTGACTGTAATCTGGTAATATTAGTTGTTTCCTTGATTCTTCAATTAATGACTTTAAAAATGTTCAGTCGTCCTGCCCAATTCTTTATGCTAGTTATACCCACATAATTCGATTTACATAACCTCCACTGAATAAATAAAGCCGAATAAAAGCAGATTAATAATCATCTGTGTTCTAGGACTCTCTGAAAGTTCTAGAGTCGGTCCTTATTGATCAGTCGATAGCGCACTCAAAGGTCTATGATAAATATCAGTTCGAACGAGTTGGTTTCTTCTCGGTCGATCCAGATAGTAACCATGACAAGGTGATTGTGATAAATTTATCATCATTCTTAATACTAAACACCAAAATAAATTCAGTTTTAATACATCCAGTTGGGCAATTCAAATTCTGTGATTTGATGTATGGTTTTCAATTTTTGATCTATTCTCCAATTGTAGCTGGTTTTCAACCGAACAGTTCTATTAAAGGAAGATTCCGGTAAAAACTAAGAGGACCGGAATTAAGGGATTGTGATCGATAAAAGATGCAGTCTGTTATCTTTTACTTATTTATGGGAATATTGACGAGTGACTCATCTGTTTGCATATTTATGTTTTTGTTTTTGCGCTGTTGATCCGTTTTGAAGTGTTATTGTTATTTGTTGTTTTTATGTGATATTAGTAATAAAGGCTTTATAAAGGCTATATTGAGTTGCTAAAGCACGTCCTTATACATTCTATACAATTCATATCATTTGCCTTGAATATATCAGTGTAATGATCAATATCATCACCATTCTCCTCACGACTAGCTTCAAGTATAAGGGTGTCCTGAAGATAGGAAACATGGAGGATCATTTGTTGAAAGAGGCAGTTTTTCGCTTTGAAACAAAAGACACGTTTTTCAGACTGCAAGAGTTATACCGGATCAGAATATCCCGGTATTATATTGTTTACTTGTGCATCGAGTGGTTGTTTTGTCAATCGCTGTGAGCAATATTTGTTTCATTAGAGTTATGATTATTTGTTGGATTAGTATTTGGCTACGTTTAATCATGCAAAGTATTCACGGCAACTAATTATTACTCGGTTGTGTTCGGTTGGCCTGCTCGCCTAGCCAGCAGGGTGGTGTAAATCAAGGCTGCGAACGGAAACGCAAGCAATATGGCCAGCAACGTTACGAACGTTTGATAGCCTGGCCAATCCATATTATTCCTGACGGAGTTGAAACTAGACAGTGTGATGTTGAGTCCTGGAAGGTTGAGTTTTTCTATTTGGATGTCATCGAGACGCATGACTGTTTCTTAAACATGAGGATATAGACTGCCTCATTTGGAGAACATTCTGAAAATAACTACATAGTCGTGACAATGGGCTTTCAAAAACTAATGCTCTGAAAAAATGTACAGAGTGCAATTTTGAATTTTGAGCGCATAACAGAATGGAGTGCAATTTTGATGAGTGCATAATTCATGTGGCAGTAACGGCTCAATTTTCACGACTCAAAATGATATACTGGAATATTTTAGGCCTGAAAATTTATACACCGCATTGTTTATCCACCATATGCGTAAGAGTAGTGTGTTGCGGGGAAAGAAAGAAATCTGGGACAGAGAAGGTGTACGACGAAATTTTGCAGTCGAGAACCCCAAAAATGCAGCCGTCTTCAAAAATGAAGATGGGGCGGAGTCCCGAAATTTCTCATTCATCATTCCTCGCAGCACACTAATTACAGGTAATGTTGGGAACCGAAAGATTTTTCTCGGTAATCCCCGCAACTCGGTATTTGCCGACTGCATAATTTTGAGCATCGATCGGTTACGATTCGGTTGTGACAGTGGGACGACTTGCCACGGTCACCGACCGAGCGAGCCTTGTTGGTTGCGGTCGGTAATCTCCGACGGGTCGGTAATCCCCGCAACTCGGTATTCCCCGACGGTCGGGAAATACCGACCCAACACTAGTTACAAGCCAAACAACTATGTGTACACAATATTCGAATGCAATAGCAATTCCAGCTGCTTAAAACTTGCCTACCAGCGGTTTCATTGCGATCGAGAGATGAAAGAAATGGAATTATAATTGCCCTATACGTTCGGAATAACAAATAAAAGAGTTTGATTTAGGTGTACTACACCCGGTCGCAAAATGCAATACACAAAACATTTTTTTTGGCAATATGTTTGGGCAATGGTGAACAGAGTAATGAAGCCAAAGTCCACTCCATGCTTTCATACGCCAAAGTCCTTTCATACTCCTTTCAGTCTCAGCGATTACCTTAACTATGAGTTCTGAATAGGCCAGGCTCAAAATGTGTTGTCACTTGTTAAAGTATTTTCATAATTTTATGCATTCATCTGAAAGTTCATTACTCTTACAATTTCACAAAATGTTTAACGGATATTTCCGAGAAAAATCCAGTCTTTTGGAATATAGATTCATATTTTATTCATGCTTCGGTCGTTAAAATCACACTGATATTAACTATGGATAACAAATATGTCATTTTCAATCAAGCCGTACCACCGGAAAGCACATAGTCTCAGATAGTGATGGCATCCGACCGAGGGTTAGTCGGAGAAATCGGTCAGTTTCAGTTGAAATTCTGATTTCTAAATTCCGATCAAGCAATTCGGAAGGTCGGTCGGATTCCGACCGAACCGTTCCGACAGTCGGTCGGAATTCCGATTGTGGAATGATGAAATTTCGTGTCGATCGGATTTCGACCGACGTGAAATTTCACTCGGATGCCATCACAAGTCTCAGATAATCTCCTGTAGAACATACCAATGATCATACATATTCCATTAAGAATCTCGGCATTCTGGAAACGGAACTTTCGCTGAGATGCCGCCTCGACGAGGAGATATAGCTATTTTTTTAATGCTATAAGGGTTACCACAATCAAGCCTACCGTCTTCTCACGGTTGCCCCGTAACATATCAATGTTATATATCGTTCTATTGAGCAGAATCTCAGCATTCTATAAACGAAAATTTCGTTGAGAAATTCCGCTTCTACGAGAAGATATAGCTATTTAACTGATGCTGTAGGGTTTACCACATTCAAGCCTACCGTACTCTCAGCCTTGCCCCGTAGCATATTGATGTTTATACACCATTCGATCCATGTAACCAACCTATACTTCTAGAGTAATGTATAATATCTATTGATCTATAACGATCAAATCCATAAAATGAGCCCCGTTGCGCTACTTGAGATGATAGTTTTAATAAAATAGCTATATATCTTCAACTAAGCAAAATCGCCCGACAAAACATATATTTTTTTGAATGCAGAGATTCTGCACGACCGATTGGTGTGAAGAAATTGATATGTTACAGCCTTAATGAAATGCCTATATCTCCTCAACTAAGCCAAATTGTGCAGTAAAATTTATAATATTCTGAATCTAGAGGATCTGCTGGATCGAACGGTAAAAGAAAGTCGCATATTTCCGGGCAAACCTGAGAAGACGGTTAGCTCGAATATCGCAATCCGCCTATTGCTTATATGAACGTATTGATTGCTCTATTGTGATCAATTTGTATGAATGACCTCGACTGCGCTATTGAATTGAGATAGATCTCCAAAAAATGCCTATATCTCATCAGGAAAGCAAAATCGCTCACTAAAAGATATGTTTTTCCGAATGAGAAGATCCAGCTGGATCGAATGATGCAAAAAGAAACAATTCATATGCTGGCGTTTTTTTTGCGGTCACATCCCGTTTGAAGGCCTATGCCACGTTTCTCTTAAATCTTTATAAACAGGTTATTTATAGTAAGCTTTTTGATCATATTGTTCTTATGTTTATCCCATGACGATCTTTACATGTTCTGAGGCACTACAATTTATTTGTGCTAATGCCTTCGCATTATACAAATGAATCTTAAATGTGGTACGGTTTCTCTTGACATTTGAGTTATCCTCCACTCTTCATTTGAAAAAACACTTTACTACATTCTACAGCACACGTAATTTTTTCAACTTCCTGAATTAAATTTAACGTTGAATAAAAAAGCTTTTTAATTAGCTTTGTTTCTGAGGGTAACGATGGTCGGGAAATTAGTATTTCGTGCAGTTGTTATGTTATGATAGAACGCCATTATGAGAGTGTTTTTTTATCTCTGGTATATAAATGTGGTCAGTTGATGGTAACACCCTTCTTTCTTCTATCTTCTGAGTATCATTAGCTCATCCGGGTCTGAACAAAAGTCCGTTCCGTCAAAAATGTTTCGTAAGTTCTTCAGTACATTGGCTGACATCGTCTCTCATCAATATTGGGGATTGATTGGGAGAATCTAATATTTGGTGTTGTTTTGTTATGATGAAACGTCATTGTGATGGTGTATTTTTCACTAAGGTATCTAAACGCGGCTCCCTCATGGAAATATTCAACTTTATCCTATTTTTTGGGTTTCTAACTCGCCTAGACCTGAACAAAAGTCAGTCTGAAGTGGTGTGGTGCGGGGACGGAAAAAATAGTCGGGGACGGGAACCCTGAAATTCCCCGATCCCGCACCACACTAATATGAAGTATTTACAATTATTTCGTAAGTTCTTTAATATATTAGCTGACGTCGTCTCTCATGAGCAGTAAGAAGTGAGTGAGCTCTTTGGTATGACAGAAAAGATCATTGGTTTTGTGTGGGACGATCGAGTATTTCTGAATTTGACGATATCGATTCTTCTTTTTCAGTTTTTGCAGTTTCTAATTCTTCGATCGCTTATGGATGTTTTTCCAGCCGGTATAATACTTCTTCGGTGATGAACGACAACATTTCTTATGATGTTAATGACTGAAATGATTGAAAAGTAGAATGGGAATTTCAGACTTTATGCACCTGTCGCATCTCAAAGCTCTCAATGGTTCGAATTTATTTTCATCCTTTCGATGAATTTTTACTCATTCATTAACCATCACTTTGATGAAATGATTATTTTTCCGTACATATCGAAGATAATTTCTCAAATGTCCATTGCATCTTTCTTCTTCATGAATAATTGAACTTGTTGTTAAATTTCATTTTTTCCGTTGAAGAATGTTTTTTTCATTGTTTTTTGTTTTTGGTTGCCAAGGTTCATATTGTTTCTGACCGGTTTTCCTTTTGTTCCCGATGTTATACGTAGAAATTGTAAGTTTTTATATCAATAGGGGTGGGATAACGGCGGCGTGCTAGATCATCAAAATGAGGAATGGAGCACGCGAGCGTGAGAACCACTGGACTAGACTCATCAGCGTACTCAAGAAGGCATTTATTTCAGGCGTATGAAGAATTCAGGTAATGATATTCTTGTTTTTTTCGTAACTTTCTAATAAAAACCAAGAGCAGCAAAGTGTGAGGATTTTTATTACTTGATCTATTTTCAACAATGAGGCTCACGTAAAACTTCTCATTGAGCGGAGCGATATTTATATGTTCAATCAGCAGGTACAGTAACTCATTGTGAGTTTATGCTAGTAATTGTAACCGAACGAAGTTATCATCGATCGACAAGATCCGATG